TTTTTAACTCTGTGCCTATATTGACTATATATAAAGTAATTTTCCCACGGCACACCTTACACTATGTCACGGCACACTAGTGTGCCGCGGCACAGTGGTTGAAAAACACTGGTCTAAGTTAAGAAGATGCAGCATACTTATATTATGTAACTATTCTGTATTATGTGTCAAGGGGAAGCCGCCTGAAAAAGTATATGAACCCACCCCTAAGGTCATAATAAATGAAGGAATAGAAGATGAATGAATAAAAATAAATACTATACAGTCAGAAATGCTCATTGGTTCATTTTTTTTTTCTTCCAGGTTCATGTTGGGAAAAGGCTTGAAACGCAAGTTGAGTGATTATGAAGAGAATATGGCTGGTGTGTCAAGTGCCTTTGATTCCAGTCGAAACCTGCCATACCCGCTCAAGCGTCAGTTGGTGCTCAATGTTTGCCTTGCCAAGTTACAGACATATAAGAAGCTGGTGGAACCAAATTTACATCGTTCGGTGCTTATAGCCAATACTGTTAGACAAATCCAAGAAGAGATGAGACAAGAAACTAGCCAACAGTTTGTTAACATGTGCAGTGGTTTAAGTACTATCCCTTCCAATTATTTAGGTTTGGATTTCTTTGGAATGCCTTCACACTTTTTGCCTGGTATTATTCAACCGGAATCATACAGTTATGAACCACGGTCTATGGAAAGTCCAATTGAAAACAGCTTGTTGATGGTTTCAGATAATGACATGTCATCAGCCATTTCCTCTATTCTAAAAGATTTGGACTTCATGGAAGATGTGAGTCCACCTTCTTACTTAGCCGGATCCGGAGATGATCAATTTAAGACTTCTGAAATATCAATTCTTAAGTTAGAAGAAGATAGACAAGACTTGAAAGGAGTAGAATGTGCATTTGGTTCCTTTGAAATTTCAAATTCAACTAGTTACTTGAAGGACTTAGCTATTGATGACATATTTGAAGATATTGACACTTCAATGTATGATTCAGACTTTGATTGCCCCTCACCAACTCCTCCAAGAACACTGTCTGTGGCAACAACAGAAGAAATGTTGAAGACATTCCCTTCTTGTAATTCTTCCTCAGCAAACAACATCCCAATATGCAGAAGTGATATCACCGATTTAGACCATATTATGGAAATTCTTGTAGGGTCCTGACACCTTTGCTAGCCCAAAGATACGTTTTCCTAAGCTGCCATACAATGCTGGTTTGAAGATAAGCGAACTTCAAAGTGTGAAACCAGAGAAGGCAGCTACAGACATTTTTTCTTTTTCATGGTTCTCAAAACCTCCCTAAAATTCCTATAAACCAAAAAAAGTGACAGCCTGTTATATAAAATGGAGTATTTATTAAATCAATTGTGCAATCTTTTTAACTCTTTTAGGCTATACATGAGGACTATTTCTCATGTGTTTCTAACTTTTTAATGTGCAATTTTTAATCTGTATGAAGGATTTGCAGAACAGTGGTTTTCATAAGGGGAAACAACATCTGAAATCTAAAGATTTATTTTTAGTATTAAATTACATTCTTTATTGGCATTCACTGAAGTTGCATACCTGGATTTGCAGCCTCAGTACAGTATATTTTTAAAGTATTTAAGAAACTACAGATCTCTTCCCCTTTATTGAAGATTCTAGATACTTGGCAGCAAAATCTCTTGCATTTTGTAAAACATTTAAAATTATTTATTTTTGTAAATTTTATAGTCTTTTTACATTTTATTACAATATTCTAGATCAGAGAGGAATTTCTGGTTGGATGTGGCTGGCACTACCTCTGTTAGCAGAAATGCTTTAATTCTTTGCTTTGTCTAACACTGCAGATCTTTTAGTTTTCTTGGATGATATTCTGGTGGTAGAAGCAAACGCAGCAATTTGCTGATTGGTTAAATTTTATGTATTTAACTGTAATTTATATGTATATTGTCCCAATTTTAGAACTTTGTCAGTATTACATGCATCAATTTGGAGGTAATATGGCTTTTTACAATTTAGTATTTTCTGTATAGTTAGCGCTATTTTAATTTTCTGAAATGGAATTTTAGATTTTATGTGCAATATATCACTTAAGCAGGCCACTTTTGCACATCCTGAATTGTAAGGAAATACATAAAATCTAGACGATGGAAATTTATAATAGTGTGTTATCAGAGGTATACCATGCAATTCTGTCTGCTGGCAGCTTTGTGCGAGATTTGTAAGAGTTGAATATGGCTTGCCTAAGAACCACTCTGATTTTGTACATTTCTGTTTCTTAAAATGGAACTTTAGTTGTTCAAAGTGCTTGCAATGGATTGTATCTTCTTAGTGGCAGTTTTTTTTATCTTGGTTTGGCCAAATAAAGTTCTAATTGAGTAGAAGTCCAGCAAATCATGCTGCCATTTGGGAGTTAGTAGTCTGCCTGTTAAGAATTACACTTAAAATTAAAGAAATTGTGTTTTTGACATTTGCACGTAATATGCTGAAGTGTTCAGTTCATTGTGTACAAAGCCTGTCCTAGTCCTGCTTTGGTGCTACTTGGCAGGCTGTCTCAGTGCTGGCACCATTTGGGGACAACTCGGTATTGCCAAAATGTTGACATTCCAACCACAAGCCTGTACTGTTCCATGGTCATAGAAGTAGCACCTGCTCACTTCTTACTGAAGACACATGGCCACTCTATGTTCTAACATTGAATCCTTGAGGAGTCCAGTTAAATTTGAAAATGATACACTAAACCACTTATTGATCAAGCAACACAACAGATGTAAATAAGTTTTAAAAATAGTGGGGGGTACAAACATTGCCATTCTATCTACTATCAGATAGACTTTTACATGCGTAGCTATCCACCTACTGAAGGACATGGTGGCTCAATGGCTAAGACATTGAGCTTGTTGATCAGAAAGGTCAGCAGTTCGGCAGTTTGAATCCCTAGCACTGCATAACGGAGTGAGCTCCCTTTACTTGTTCCAGTTTCTGCCAACCTAGCAGTTCAAAAGCACATAAAAATGCAAGTAGAAAAATAAGGACCACATTTGGTAGGAAGGTATCAGAGTTTTATGTACCTTCGGCATTTAGTCATGCCAGCCATATGACCACGGAGACGTCTTCAGACAGCGCTGGCACTTCGGCTTTGAAACAGAGATGAGCACCTCCCCCTAGAGTCAGGAACGACTAGCATATACGTGCGAGGGAAATCTTTTCCTTTATCCACCTACTCCTCATTGCTTCCAATGCTAGCAAACCTGGAAAGTTTGCTAGTATTGGAAGCAAAACATCTACACTTCCTTGCATATTCATAGTATCTAACTTTTGTTTTTCTTTAACAAGGCAGCAGGGAAAAAAGCCTACCTTTGAGAACATTAATATTTGTAAGTAGGTTTTCTAGAAAGATAGGAGATACTTTTTAAAATTGAACTATAGAATGCATATTGGCTAATCTTCATCTGAATTGCAGTAGAAGCTGCTTATAGAATGGCCATTTTCTGATGGTAAGTTCTTGGCATGGAGATTACCTACCATAGTAGGTTGGACATCTTAAAATAATCTATTGGGGCTTAACCCTCCATTGAGCATCTCATTATTGCATAACAGTAGCTGCACCAGTATCAGCTTTCATTTCCACCCCCCATTTTTTGTGGTGTTGGAACCAATCCACTACTCAACTTGAAGTGCAATGAGATTCAGGTCACCTGATGTAGTTGTTGCATTATGTAGCATTACCTTTAGGGAATAAAGGGAAGCTTCTCTGAAGCTGAAAGCCCAGTACCATTGTAAGTGGAGTAGAGTCAAACATTCAGATTACGATACTAATAACCGGCTGCAGAAATGCCAGGAAGTGTTTCTGATTAGTCTTAGATTGAAGGACTATTTGGGCCTCAGAGACTGCCGTTTAGAGTAAAAACTAGACTATTGACAAAGCAACTATTGTAATGTTAGAATATGGTTGATGCATTCATAATAGCAGTGATCATCAGGATGTAACTGCAGCTATTGCTCATGATCCTGTATCAATAGCTTGACTACCTCCTCTCTCTGGCAGCCCCTCAAATATTAGTACTCAAATAAATTAGTACCAATTCTTTATCTTGCACCCAACTTGAGTCATGGTGGAGCTGGATTCTACAACTAATGCCAAGTCAATCCAGTTTTATTTGCTTAATGCATACTTTAGCAGTTGAAATGTATTTATATACATAGGAGATTTGCAGTTACAATTAAATCATAGCAGGCCCTTTTGCAAAATGTTTTCTATTATGTAAAATGGATTAGATAAAAAGAATGTATACTGTTTGTACATGATGGATAGAAAATTAATCTAAAAATGGTAAGAGCCCTCTGCATTGTGATAAAGCAGACTAGTGTCCACACTATTTCTTTTTAAATCTCTTAATAAATATTCAGATCTAATTTGTTGTCATCTACTGTTCTTAAACTTAAAAGAAACAACGATCAAGTATCTAAACTGCACAAGCAATGTACCAGTGGCAGAAACATGTAGATTGGCTGCCAACTGTTGATTAGGCATCTCAAAAGGAGATCTGGCTTGAAATAAGGATTAGGTCTTACATACAAGCTTTCCTGGAAGCTTGTAGGTAAGAGAACAACATCATTCTTCTCTAATCATGATTTCACACCCTTCTCATCTTCAGAATACACCCCAGAGTGGTTTCCAAACTTACCTGAAAACATTGGCAGAAATAATTCTTGAGCATCAAACATCTATGCCCTCAGCATTATGTTTTTCACTTTTTCAGGACATAAAGGCCTCTGGTCTACTTATAGCTTCAGAAAAAGAAAGAGGCCCCATCTAATTTGAAAGGTGTGTTTCCGTCACTAAAGCAGCCAAAGTTGAATGTTACATGACTCCATTGCTTAACAATGGCAATCCTGGCAGCCATTGTTACCCAGGACCATGCAGCTTGTTATGTAGGAAAAGCTGGGAATTGCAGGCAAGGAGTATAAAGAGGTTCCATGGGCAGGGATAGTAGAGCTTCACAGTGCCTGTGGATTTCCCCATTGACTTTGCTTGTGGAAGCCAGCAGGGAAGGTCACAAATTATGATCATGTGATTGCAGCTTCCCACAACATAGGAGTTGAGCCCCCAGGATTTGATCACATAACTGCAGGGATGCTGTGAAGACCACAACTTTGCATACTGGCCATAAGTCCCCTTCTTTTAGCACGTCATAATTTCAATTCACCACCTAAAAGCTTGCATTAGAGCAAGAAAAAAAACTTTAACTGAGTAGGATGTTATTTTAAGCAACAGACTAGTAGCAAGAACATGTGCAGTGGCTGTCAGCCATTGACTGACCATCTTAGAACAAATGACTTCCTTTAACATGTCAAAACGTGTTCATAGTAGAACTTTTACTTTTAAATCTGAGCTACCACAAGAAAGCCACTTGGGGAGATTGTGTTATTCATTAAAAGGTTCGTATGGCTGCCCATCTTAGTGCACAAATCTTGGTCCTTCACAATAATAAAATTGCAAACTAAAAAAAAACTCGCATTCAGCATTTCCTAGCACAGGGGTCCTCAAACCTTTTAAATAGAGCCAATTCATGGTCCCTATCAGACTGCTGGGAGGCCAGACCGGCTGGATGGGCATGGTCAATTTAGCAGTCCATTAAACAATACACATAAATTAAACTTTAATTTGTTATGCTCCTGGGGGTGGAAAGCAGGTTGGTGAAGGGATGTGGGTGTCTTGGTGGGTAGGAAGGGACTTATGTTTGTACGTGTGTGTGTATCTTTCTCTCGTCCGGGAGACCAAAAACAGGCCCATTTTTGGCCTCCTCAGCCTCCAGTACTACTCTGCTGCCCAAAAAAGGGCCCGTTTTTGGCCTCCCGAGGCCTCCAGAAGGCGGGGGGATGCGGCCCGCACGGGCCAGATTAATGGCTTCGGCAGGCTGTAGTTTGAGGACCCTTGTCCTAGCACTTATATATCACTCCCCAGTGCTTTGCAGCACTCTGAACCATTTACAAATGCCAGCACATTGCCCCCAACAATCTGGGTCCTCATTTGATCCGGGGGGGGGGAGTTAGTCTACAATACTGCATTCTATCCACTGGCTCCCAATACTGTGGTTTCCCCAATAGCCATCCATAAGCTGCCAGCATTGGACCATAATGCCTGGGTAAAGAGCCAGGTCTTGATGGCCTTCCAGAAGGCTACGGATGGGAGCCTGCCTGGCACAAGGAGCACCTATGGAAAACACTTCCTAGATCCCTCAACTGTACATGGCAGCATTTCAGAGAAGCCTACTCTATCTGGTAGTATGGGCATACAGGGCTTTAATGGGAGCCAGGGCAGCTCATGCAATGGTGTAACATGAGCAAACCTAAGGGCACCTACACTACTTGTGTTCTGCATTCTGGGCCTAATGTAGATTCCTGGTGACCTTCATGGGCAGTCCCATACATAGTTCATTGCAGCACTCCCAAGAAGTGCTCAGTCTCCTTGAACAGTGAAATTGCCAACTCACATACATATATAATCAAGAGGATTTCTGCACTTGCATCAGAGACAACTCATAAGAATGGCTCAGATTGTGACGGTTTCAGGGTTACACGCAGAGAAGTCAATAGAGATTTGTTAGTTTTGTCAACTTTAGATTTATTAATGTTGCAAGTCCTCAGACAGTGGTGTAAACATGTCTGCATAACTCTGATGCAGCTGTTTAGTAGCGAAATGGCTATTCAACCAGGGTTGAAGAATCCTTCCAACGTTGCAATCATTTCCAATGTGACCGATAGTAAGGGATACTCAAGAGTTGTAGCTCAGGAATGTCTAGAGCAGCACAGGTTCTCACCCTTGTCTTACACAAAGACAGCTGCAAATTTAACTGAACTATTGTTCTAAAAATGAATGGAAGTTCACAAAAGAGTGCTCAATAAGTTTTACTCCATTAACTGAGAAGAACCTGTACAGACTGTAAACACAGTAGAGGATAGATTAGGCTGCCACCAGATAGCATTTGTCCTGGCTAGTCAGAAGCCACGCGAGTCTTTGCTAGTAGTAAGCCAATAGGTATGAACTAAAACATTTTATAAAATTTATCAGAAACTCTGAAACATAAATTGCAAACAATTTAAAACAAAAGAAATAAATTACTCTAAAACAAGGGGAAGTTATATTGATTATTCATGATAACAGAAACTAGGCATGTGACTTTGCATACATTAATGGTCATACTGAAAAACCTATTTTTGTAAGCATTTCTCCATTTTTGTAACCATTTTTTGAAATGACCTGGATATTAAAGTAAGGGAGATGCTGAAGTATGTAACTGCAGCAGCAAGATGTACAAGTAACAACCCAGTTTGAATACAAGGGATGCCAGACTTCTCTGTACCAAAATCAACAGACTAATATGGAATGGTTCCCTGAAGTTTAATAAAAAGAACCTGAACTACTGTTTTAATAAGTGCTAGTTTTAAAACCCAGGTTTTCAATATGAAACATAGGA